ATCGGAGAAGAAGAGATGGAAATGCGAGGGAAGAATGAAGGGGAGTTTTCGTCCTGGCTCCATAGTTTTTACATAGTTATTAGTCAAACCCGTTATATAGTCAATGTGAGATGCATTATTTTAATATATTCCTTTGGTCTTTGAAAATTTGCAGTGGGGTGGTTGACTCAGCGGTAAATAATCCAACTACAAAAGATAAGATTTAAAAGGTAACAACGAGTTCAAATAACTTGCAGCATAGAAATGTATTAATTTTTTCCACTTTTGCATTACATAGATATATATATATATAATCTTTTTAATTGCAAGTAAATTTTTCTATGTTTCTCCATGAGAGTTATAACTTATTATTGTTGACTGCTTTGTGTGAGCAATTGTATAGATTAGAGAACTGTGGTGCGGGCCAGTGCTTTATTAACCATGTAATGAAAATCCAATGGATTGAAGCTCAAGCCCCTCAGCTTGGCATTTGTCTACACAAGTAAAAATCCGTGTGATTGAAGCATGTTTTTTCCTTACTTCCCCCAAGTATCTCGTCCCCTGTTATGAGCAATAGCAAATGTTCATTTTTTTTATAATATTTGGTATCTATTTGACACAATCATCTTAAGGATGTGCCCTGGAAGATCTATATGCATTGTGGTTTAATGATAAGGCCTAGACGGCTAGACGAGCTATATGCATTGTGGTTGTCCTTTAGGAAAAGGCTCCAAAACAAGAATGTATAGAGACTCTTTATTATGTTTTAACGTCTAAAGCATCCAAGAGGTTTTCTTCACTTGCATGTTTTATGTCAACCACAAGAAAGTCAAGAAGGAGAATATATATTATCAAAGTAATCAAATGCAACTTGATTAGGATTAATTTGTGATTTATGTATAACTTTTTATTTCTGGTTAAGTTGCCTATCATATTTACATTTATTGTGATCTGTTATTAAATTTAGATTGTATTTTCCTATTTTGTATTCGTTAGGAATTCATGTTCTTGTTACACACACACACACACATGCATACATGCCTTCACCTCTTTCTTTCTTTCTGAACCTAAACTCCATTTATTCTATAAATATAAGCTAAATCTCAAAATCTGGAGGCACTCAAATGGATAATAATGGGGATAATGCTAAGACATATGATGAAGTAGATACCAAAAAAAAAAAAAAGGAAGAGGGGAAAGAATATTGTTCAACACGATTGGAACTTGTGCTTTAACTTATGTGCTATTGTGGCTTCCATGTCCATGTGTAGCATTATCATGGCCATTCAAGCTTCAACTAAGTTATGCAGAGCAAGGGGCTCGGCTAGTATGGCTAGTATTAATCAATAGAGTGTGGGATGCTAAGAAATTAGATGATGATAAAATGGCTTTATAGTCTATACATGCAAAGAGTGACCATAATTATTAATTCACCAATTTGTTTGTTACTAACAAACTTTATTTACATATTATGATTCTCACATCAATTGTTTATATATATACACACACACACACATATATGTATATACACCCTCTTCAGCCTTTAGTTGACGCATCATGTTACTGTTTTTGATCTGGTTAGCAAAGAAAGATCTCTTATTTTGTTACATTGGGGTTTTAAAGATATACGCTGGTGGCTCTCTTTCACCAATAGAACAAATTGTTATTCTCAGATGGCAAAGTGAAGAAATCTTAAAAAACAAATATGATCTTCAAAAGTCTGATTCACCCCTTTGACTCTTCAGACACAAACACCCATATTGTCCAACATACCATAACTTTCAACAACCACAATTACATGGGCAAGTGCCCAGGCTTTGATTCATATAGAAACAAACTATTGCAAATGTTATTTCAATAATCTACGAGGTTTGGAATCGTCAAAAATTAGGTATGCTGCAATCTTCTTCACAGGAAATTGAGGCCCAATACTAAAAACAAGTTCCACTAAATCATCAGGTTGAATATTTGAAATGATACTTTGACATTGTTCATCTTCATGGAAAGTTATCGAGTCTCCTTTATAATGTTGAACAGTAGCCTTCGTGTGGTTGATGATCAGAACACTTATGAGAAATTGATCAGGCATTGTGTTATCCATGCAAGAAGAATGCACAACATTGAGAAGCATCGCTTTTAAGCGACAACCTTTGACAAGAGGAACCTTAAAAATTACTGAGCATCCTTCACCCTTGTAGATGAACCAATTAGGATACTGATTGCCAGGTAGTTGAGAATCATCCCACCCACCATAACTCCATCCCTTTATATATAGCATCAACACAGGAATGAAGAGCTAGGTTAAATACTTGTACAGAGAATAATGTGGCCAGAAAAAGGAAGAAATTGTTGGCAGAAAGGAAAAACAAATCAAACGTCGCATACTCAATACATAAATTGGTACACATATTCATCATGCATGAACCATGCTAATCAAGATGCAGTAACTATAGTACTAAATGAAATATAAGTGTAAAAGGAAAGTTAAATTATGATGAGACATTTAACATGGTATTAGTTACTAAAATTGAAATCTTATGAGTAAAAAAAGCAGCAAAATGAAAAATAATTGAAGACTAATATATAAATTAACCTGCAGGTAGATGAATTAAAATCTCAACAAGGTAATGGCACTCAAATAAATAATATTACAAAAGCCACTAAAATAAATATTTTCACAATTGTATATTGCATGTAGTATTAATTGAAGAAGCTACTCATCTAAATAGGAGTCTAGTAAAGCATGATGACTTCGTGGGTAAATGTCAAATAAACATGTTAGGAAATTAATTCTAATGAGGATGATTTTCTTGTTATTCCCATAAACATGGATGTTTAATAATCATTAACTAATACTCAACTGAACATCCATATAGGAAAAATAGATTATAACAATAGAAAATTAATAAACTATTCTTACGACACATATGGTTTTCCCTTTTAGCTTGATTCTGAAACAAAGTCTATTTGTGTAAATGGCTAGTACGCAGTGACCAAACGAAAGAAATCATATTAATATTTTTTTTGTATTTCACAAAGCTGAGAATGCTTTCAAACTTGGGTTTTAAACAATCAAGAAAGAGACAAACCTGCAGAATTTTATCTTTCAATAAGTCTACTTTGGTGCACAATCCCATTTGAACAAAAAGAGAGTTGAAGGAATCTGCTGAACTTGCAATAAACACTTGGACATGACCCTCAAATGATGATGCAGAGGCTTCCATATATGAGATCTGTGGTGTACGTGAAGTTGATTCCAATTCCATAAAATTTGTCTGATACAAGGCATCCAAAAGTCTAGCCATTTTTTCACTGAATTGAAACTGTGGTCGACATTCTTCCCACATGCCTCGAAGCTTTGCAAGATTGCCTAGAAATGGAGATAGGCCATGGAAGCTACCAATCTGTACAGCTGAGAAAAATAGATGATATGCCCTGCAAAAATGCTTCACTATGGGATTGGAAAATATTTGTGGGTGACATCCAAGACTGTATGAGAGAAGGAAATACATCTTGTGCTCTTCCTTCATACCCACACAAAGATACATATCCATGTACAAGCGCCTGCAATCTTGCTAATGACCTGGGTGCTTGTGTTATGGCAGTATTATCTGCCATTAAAACAGTCAAGGATTCCATTTGCTCAAAATCTTCTTCTAAATGGTCAATCAATGAACAACCAGAAAGAATAAGAGTTTTTAAAGATTTCAACTTGTAGATGCTTCTAGGAAGAAGCCTAAGGCACTTGCAGCCTTTTAGATTTACCACAAGAAGATTTTCCAGATCTCCAATACTATTGTGAACTAACATCAAGCTCGGACAATCTTTTAGTATCAACTTTTCAAGGTTTGGCAGTTTTGTAAATTCAGGAGTCTGTGTCAAATAAGAGGAATGGCTGAGATTGATTGTCTTCAACCTTTCTAGCAACTGTAAAAACATTAAAGTTTCGAATAAAAATATTAAAAATTCCATACTGGAAAAATTATATCTTCAATGATCTTGATCATCTTAATAAATAGTAAATAACAAATACACACACACACATACACGTACCTGGGGCTCTTTCCAAACTCTTACGAGCCTACTGCATTTGAAGTCAATAGCAACTAAATTTTTTTGGTGAAAGTTGTTTTGGAATGTATTTTAAAGGAAATCCACGCCAACAAAGCCACCTCAACTTTTTGGAAAGATGCTTATAATCTCCTTTAAGATTTACATAATCTAGTTGGAGTAATCTAAGTTTGTTCATTGCCTTAAATGCCTCGGAATCAATCAAACACTCTTTATATGTTCTTGGAAACTTCAGAGATATACCCTCAATAGCTTTCGTTCCCTATAAATGCAAGCATAATTTGATCTATGAGTGTGTATGCTGAGAGAAAACCAATACATAACATATAAAGAAAGTAATGCATCCCTTGACATCAAAACTTGCAAAACAGAAAAGAGCACGCCGAGAAAATTCTTACCGTATGTTCTCTTAACACTTCAAGTACATCTTCATGAATCCATAATCTGCTATATTCCTCTGGATCCTTAGGTGGGCTATCACGGATGATTTCTCTTCCCATATCCCGTAATAAATCATGCATTTCAAGCTTATTATTCCTACTAACTTTTATGAGGCTCCGATCTATGAGAATTTGTAGTCCATTTTCTGCATGAAGTCCACAACCATCTAATATCTGCGTTACATAGTTTCTGTCCCTATTGATAAAGAAGCAACATATGTCAAGGAAAATTTCCTTCTCTGTATAATCATCTAAACCATCAAAGCTTATTTTTAACTTTGCTTGAATATCTTTATGAGGAATCCTTTCGAGTTTGGACAATGCAGCCTTCCACTGTTGAATTGTTTTCTCACACAAATAAGAACCAATGACTTCAAGAGCAAGTGGAAGTCCTCCACAATAAGCAACTACACTTCTAGAGAGTTCCATAAATTCTTCAAAGGGAGCTTTTTTCTTGAAGGCATGCCAACTGAAAAGCTCAAGAGATTCACTTTCATCCATTTCTCTGACTTCATATTTGTAGTCAGCTTTAAGGACATTAAGCAGATGCATATCTCTAGTTGTGATGATTATTACACTCCTTGGACAAAACCATTCACGACTCTCACATAATGCGTTCAGTTGACAAATACTATCCACATCATCCAATACAACAAGTGCTTTTATGTGGGGAAATCTGTCTTGAATTATTTTTTTTCCCCTATCAATGTCACATATCTTGAAAACTTCTTTCCCAGTTATATCATAAATAAGTTGTTTTTGCAAAATAACGTGGCCATTATCTTGCTTTGAAATTTCTCTAATATTTTTCAGGAAACTTCTTTTAAAGTGGCGACCAATTTCATTGTAGATTGCTTTGGCAACGGTTGTTTTGCCAGCACCTCCCATTCCCCAGAGGCCTATGATAAGAACTTTTCGTGACCTCTTTTTTGACCATTCAATAGTCAAGTCATGAAGCCGTGATTCTATTCCTACTGGATGGTCAGCAATAATCAAATCTCCAGTGTTTAATTCTACAAGAACATCATCGACAATCCCTTTAATTACATAAGCTTCATCCCTGTCAATATTGAGTACCCGTAAAGAAAATGAGCATCTAAATGAATATTTCCACTGTCTCAATTTATAAAATACTTTTAGATAAAATTACACCTACTAATAAAGCTTATTAAATGCACTTTACAGTTTTACTTTTTTTAAAAAAATAAACTTTAAAAAATAACTTTCATTTAACACTCCATTTGTGACAGAATATTAAAAAAAAAGAGAATATATGTGAATGGTAATATTGAAAAAGTATAATTAATGAAAGCTTATTTTTATACAAGTTTTCTATATTTTCGGATGTCAAATCTCTCCCAAAAGTGTCTTATAATTTGAGAGAAAGAGTATCATAAAATGTGACGAATAGCACTATTTATTTAAAATAATAATAAATTTCAGTGGATCATCCCTTACCAAACAATAAAAATTTCAGTGGACCATTAAGAATATGAAATGGACTAATTTGGCTATCGATTCATAGGAAAACTTTGAAGTATTGAGTGTGGGATGAAAATAATAACTTCAATATTTAAGGGCACATCAGTTATTTATTTAACTACAAACTACAACACAAACGACACCAAATTTATAACCATGGAAGTTAAGCGTGTTTGCATCGGGGGTTGTGAGAGTTTGTGGTGATCAGCTCACTGATTGGATGGTGGTAAAATCTTGGATAGATATAAGAGACTAGGCATTGCTGGAATTGAATAGAAGGGTTCAAAGTGGCAACGGCACATCTTTGGTGTGATTTTCTGGGGTAAAACTAGAATTGTCGGTTATTGTCGGCCTAGAAGATTTGAAATGTTTGGCTTACTTGCATAAAATACAAAATCATTCCCCTGTTGTTGATCGACCTGCTAATACCATGAAGAGACAGAGGATGCAAACTCGAGGATTCTATTTAGAGGTGTACAGTGGATACAAATAGCTACTGGGATGCGACAATCGGTATAATATTCTAGATACTAGCCGAGAAATAAGGAGGTTAGTCACTTAGGATAAAGGTGTAACATGAAATACAATTGTAATATTGTAAACTATAAATATAGGATCAAGTATCGAATCCAAACTATTATATCATTTGTTTGTCACTTGGGAGTCTCATATATCTCACAATGATTTGCCTAGATATTTTTCATGTTGTTGATATTGTCAGTCAATTTTTGTTAGCTCCTCTAACCACCCTTTATGCAGCCATCTGTTAAAGGTCTCATCATGGCCTTCATTTCTCTACAAGTTTATCTCTTGTTCTATGGGACTACTCTTACGTCGATTAGGGAGGTGACCATACTAATTGTGGTCTACTAGTTTTGCATATTCTTCGGTGACTCTCTCATCTCATGTTGAAATAAGAAACTCAATATCTTTTTCATTCTCTCTTATCTTCAATTTGCTTTGGCCTTGTTGGTTATTATGTCCATGATAGTAAGAGTTTCACACAAATTGCTTACACTGATGTGTTTTATGAGTGAACTAAATATATTGAGATTGATTATCATTTGACTCAATAGTATCGTTATCGGCACTCTCCAACTATTTCCCATTCTCATAGCTGAGCAGCTGGGCTTAATCATAAAGTCACTTAACCTAGGCCAATTTGAGATCTTAGTGAAAAAACTCAAGATGGTTTTCATTCTCTCTTATTTTGAATTTGAGGGCTGTTAATTGTAAATAAGATTTGGACATACAATTTGCTCCGACCTTATTTTGTATTTGTTAGGATATATTGTTTTTCTTGTATACAAACCTGTATTGGATAAATAAAAGTAGGAACGTACAAGGCCCCAGCCAAGCATAGTTCAGGTCAATTTGGTACATTGTTCAAGTAGGGCTTAGCCCAACCCAAATTTAAAAAAAATAATAAAAATCTTTTTTATCAACAAAATATAATTATTTTTGTTTAACATATTTTTTCTACAAAATTGATGTTACAATGAAAAGTAATAATTTTTAAAAATTATATATATTTGAAAATTAGGAAAAATTAATCTCTCAATCCTTCAACTTTTAATTTACTTGTAACTCATTCCATCAATTATGACTCGCTGTGACTCAATCCTTCAACTTTTAACTCATTGATAACTCATTCCTTATTTTTTAATTTTTTTAAAAATTATCTTTATCAAATAAGAGGTATAAAAGAAATGTTTATATTTTATTTTAAAATACCCCCTCTTACCCTTTGATGTAAAATCTAAGTTAATATGAAAAAAGAAAACTAACAAAAGTTAAGAAAATGAGTCATAGACGAGTCAAAGGTTAAAGGATTGAGTCACAAGCGAGACAAAAGTTGAGAGACTGAATTGCAGCAAGTCATAATTGAGGAATTGAGTTATGAATGGGTTAAAAATTGAAGAACTAAAAGACTAGTTTTCCCTAAAATTTATTCATATTTTTACATATAACTATGTTCAAAAATTATTTAAAAATATTTAAAATGACTAAAAAATTATAATAATAAAATATCAATGATAATCATAAAAACAAGGTATATTCCAAAACATGCTAAGAAATATGATATTATAAAATAATTAATTTTAACAAAAAAGGAAAAATGATAATAAAATTTTTCAGAATTATATAAATGACAATCTAAGCTATCGAAATGCCATATTTTTTTTAGGAACTTCTTTGTCAGTAAATTTTAAAGTAAAAAAATTATTTTACCTTAATTAAAAATAACATACCCCAATCATAACTTTTGTTCAAGGAATAACAATTTTTATTTTGTGAATAACAGGAATTGAACAATAAATTACAATTTTTCAAATGTAATTTCTGTCTCAAAATAACAGGCCATAATTACAAATTTTGTTCAAGGAATAACAATTTTTATTCTATAGATCACAGGAGTTAAATAAAAATCACAACTTATTAAATATAGTTTTTGTTATTAAAAAATAAGTTCTCAGAATAAGAACCCCCAATTACAACTTCTGTTTAAAAATAATAATTTTTATTCAAAAATCACAAAAATTAAATAAGAAATCACAACTAAAATTATTTTTTTAATTTAAAATTTATTGACACAGAAGTCCTTAAAAATTTTAATAAAATTATGATATTTTAAAAAATTATATTTTCATTTATATAATTTAAGATAACCTGATTATAATTTAAAAAAAAAAAAAAGATATGATCAGGCGAGCAGTCCCCAAGCGCACCCAAAATGGTTGAGCAGGGCATATCAGGCCTCTCGCACAGCGTTAAATAAAAGTATTCCCAGTCTTTTTCTCTCTTTTTGTGCGCCTTTCGAGAATATTATTTTCCTTTTTTTTATTGTTTTTATTATTCATATGTATGTTCAGGTAATCTTATTTGAGTAATTTTATTTGAGTCATAATCGCGTACATTACGAGAGATTGACCATTTCCACTAAATCCAGTCTAGTAGAAAATTAATTCTTTAAGCGTAGTTATTTCTTTTAATATTGCTTCATTATGTTTGTTGAAAATAAAGCAGGATGAGAAAGGGCAATCAACCAACACAACAGCAATACTTCTCTAGTGACGAAGTGTTAAAGTAAAGTAAATTTTATTTTTTATGTTACCAATTCTATTTCAAAGAAAAATGAGAGGAGGCTTGGTAATATATTACCGAAAAGCTGAATCGAAGCCGGAAGTATTCGCAACCGCTTCGAGTGCCTTCCGCCACTGCGACACCCGATCGCTTCCCCTTCCCAACTTATGCTCGTGTTTTTCTATCGCCTCACCATATGAGCCTCTCTGATGACGAACGTCTGACGGATCGACGCCATGGAATACGGGCATAACCCGCTGACCTTGGGTTTTTTGACATTCCATTATTTTCACCAACTCATTCAGACACCATCTAGAAGATGCGTAATTCGGAGATAAAATCACGAGCGCAATTTGTGATCCTTCGATTGCTTGCAGTAATGAGCGAGAGATCTCTTCTCCTCTTTCAAGCTCCTTATCGTCCATGAAAGCATGGATCCCGGCCTGTCTTAGAGCGGCATAAAGATGCGAAGCGAAACTGTTACGAATGTCTTCGCCTCTGAAACTCAAGACGACATCGTAAATCCGTTTTGGCCGTTTGGAGGAAGAAGTAGAAGACGAAGAAGCCATGGAAAGGATGAGGTAAGAGGAAATGAAACACTTCAAACGAGCTTTCTTCTGCAAGAGGAAGAGGATCGGGACGCTAACGTGGATAGCTATCCGCTGTTAGGTCTAGCATTCAAAGGATGGACTCAAGTCAATGAGGAGTTGAAATTCCTGCCAACCATCTCTTCTCTGATTTCTCATATCCCCCCTCCATTAATTCCACACAATTTGCACATCATTTATATTGTGACTAGTTTGGATGGAGTTGGTTTTCATTTTCTTTTCTCTCAATTTTCTCTTCACTTTTTATCTAAATTATTGAATTTAAAAAGTTAAAATTTAATGCTTTATAAAATTATTATTAAAATGTAAAATTTATAAAAAAAATAAATGTAATAATAATTTTATAAAATATTAAATTTCAATCATTTAAAAATAAATCCAATCGTTCAGATGAGAAGTGGAGAGGAAATGGAGAGAGAAGGAAATGAAAAAAAGTCAACTCCAGTTTGGATTCATGCAACATGGATTAAGCACTGATTTTTATTTAAGAAAATTATATAAAGTAATATAAATAATAATATTTATGACAATAAAAAGACATTTATGAAAATCACTCTTGTACGCGTTTAAGCGTGGACAAAAAAATACTTCTTCTATTTATTTATATATATATATATATATATATAAATTATATCATAGAGTTTAAAAAAATTAGTTAATTATAATAATTATGTTTAAAATAAAAAATTGAACTAAAATACTTTATGTTAATTAACATAAGCATGCATTAATTATTTTTTGTTGATGTAAATTATAAGGGATGATTTAAAAAATATATAATAAATGCTTATTAAAATGGGTGATTGTATTTAGAAAAAAAATACAACTAAAAAATGATAGTTTCTGTAATAATTATAAAAGGAGGGAGTATGTGACTTAAATATTGGCTAGATCATCCATAATGAAGTTGTCTTATTAAACATGTCGAAGATTTTTTTTCGTTTTTAATTTAAAGAAGAAAAAAATGAAATTCTAAATTAAAAAGAAAAAAATGAAATTCTAAATTAAGAGAATGAAAACTAATTGTAAAAAGTAAAAATTTAGTTTTGTATATAAAAAGTTTAAACAAAAATTACATTGGATTGAAATTTTAACAATCAAGAGAATTGCAGAGTAATAAGAAGAATGAAATTAGAAATGAAAGAGTTCATAATTATTAATTGCTCTGTTAGGCTAAATGCATTTCAGTAAACATGTTGGGAAATGTATATTCCATTGAATGATTTAACTTTTTATTTAATTTGGGTAAAATTAAAATTTTATTTTATTTTCAGACAAAATTATTAATTTATCTATCTCCACTTAATTTTGATGAGATAATTAGATATACCTATAATAGAGTTGGAAAGGAGTAATTTGTTATTTTTAAGTAACAAATTTTCAGCATAGAAAAAAGAGTCAATAAACATGTGATATCCAAGAATAAATTATATGTCAATTATTCTTATATATCAAACCAATACGACAATACCATATGATGGATGCATAAGAAATTAAACTCGTTTCAACTGATTTTTATAGTAGGATAGGTTTGTAAAGCATAATTATCTTTTCTCTTCTTGTCTCGGAAAATCTTAATAAAAATCTATTAGAAAATCCATCAGTCATTTATATTCTAGTCAAACATCTTTCTTCACATATGATTGAGTTCCATGTGCAATTTCTTCCAACTTGACCGTGAACTTGAAGACAAACATACCTTTATTTCGATGACCATTGTAACCAACAAAATGTAGATTTAAAAGATTAAAAAAAAAAAAAAAACCACGAGGCATCTTCCCCATCAGGTAAATTTCTTTTTCTCCCATATCAAATTATTTTTTGTTATAGTAATTTGAGTGAATGCGATGAAGTCTAATTTACCAATTCATTGAATCCCCCGTGCCTTTTGCACGTATTATACATCATACAAATGACCAATGAATATGAAATGTGGAAAAAATAAAAGATTAAAATAAGTTGAAGGAATTTCTTATGTCAAAAGGAAAAAACTAAATTGATCTTGAAACACATTAAATTTAATGAATTACGATTCAAAAGAAGAAGAAATTTTCAATTACTGAAACACAGGGGGAAAAAAAGGTCAATATGAGAGAGATTAAATGACCAAAACTATACAAAAGCCCAAAAAGATTAAGAAAGGTCCTATAAAATTATATTGTAGAATAATTTTACTTGCTTGTATATATAAGAAGACATTTCTTATGATAATCTCTTCCTATAAGTTGCATACTCTCAGTCCTTTGATCCACCCATTAATCTCTTCCTAAAGGCAAAGGACTAGACATGGCAAGGATCTTGTAAAGCAAGATTGTTAGTAATCTCATCCCTTGTAAGGTGTCTCCTGTACAAGAACCAATCAAAAAATTCATTAATTAATGATTGCACAAGGACAATAATTATGGCACTTCCTAATAAAATTATTCACATTAGTTGTGTGATATACATCTCACTCATTTGCAAGAGCACATTGAGAGTGCTAATGCTACTACATAAGTGATGATAACACACTAAATTATGAATTTTTACGTGACTAATGCTTTGTTTGAAAGGAGGGGAGGGAAAATTTTAATTGTTTGCCCCTCCGCTTGTTTGGCAAAATTACAATGGAGGGGAGGGGAGGGGAGGGAAAATTTTAATGAATTTTCTCTCCCATCTCCCCTCCAAATTGAGGGGATTCCCCCTCCCTTTCCTTTCCTCTAATAAAATCCCTCCTCTCCCCTTCCCTCCAATAGAACATAGCGTAAATTTTTGAGAAACCAAACATCAAAGAACAAAAATCAACTTCCATGTTAGAAATATAAAAAACCATATGAATGACCTCAAATAAAAAGTAATTACGTATCAGTGGAAGAATGCCAGTGGACTTTCAGTTGAGGGATTCACCTTTTCAATTGCCAGTGGAAGAATGCCCTGATGGACCTTCAAAATAGAGTAGGAGGAATGAATTGGAGAAACCAAATGCCTTTTTGTTCATCGATGCCTAGAAAAATGTGAATGAAGTTGTGGAAGGATCTAAATAAGAAACCATTGAATTCCACCACTAATAAAAAGCAAATAATGATGTTTAAAAACACATATAGCAAAATAAAAGGAGAGGTCTTCAAGTGTGCCTTCGTTTACAAAAGAAACCTATGGAAAGAGAGCAACCTTTAAGACTAAGATTGCTGTGAAGCTAATATGACTTTCCCATATAAAGATTTATCCAAGTCACATCTGAAGAAAGGTCAATCTGGTTTGGAGTATGCATGGTGGCCCGTACCATGGACCCAAGAACTTGGGGGAAAAAAACATACTATCCTTCTCAGAATTTCTATAATATCAAGTTTTGTGCTAAGTTTCTACTACCCCCAAGAAAAGATGCAAGTTCACAAAATAGACAAGAGAAAAAGATTATGGTAATGGCAAAAACAATACAAAATGAGATGTTACAATTACAACTTTTCTTTTTTCTTTTTTTCCCCCTTTTCCTTTTGTCTTTTAATTAGATACTATGTTAAAAACTTTTTGTTAGTATATGAATTTGATCCTTTTAAAAAAAAAAAAGAATGTCAAGATGTTGCAAAAATGACACTTTCTTCAAAACACTTCTGTCAATAAAATTTCATTTGGCGAATAGATGAGGTAGATCCCGTGCAGGACTAAGAAATGGAAGAAATAATTCACAACACAAAAAGAGCAAACTTCTAAGTCATACCTAAATTGCATTAGGACCTGCCCCTTAGAGCCACCACTTACCCTTCTTCCAACATGCACTTGACCAAAACCTCCATTACTCAATTTCCTTTCAATCTTATACATCAGAGAATTACCAACTTGAACCTGAATCAATAAGAAAGCAATGATCTTAGATTAGAAACAAAGAGATAAAAGTTTAGTAGATGTTAAGAACAATAATCCCAATGCTGCTTGAAATATAAATTCAACATGCACTAACATGCTACAATATTATTCATGATCTAAAACCAAACACACCGTCACAACCTCAAACCATCCAAAACAATCCAATTAATATTATTTGATTCAGTTCAAGAGATTCTTAAAAGTTAAGACTGTGAATCTGAACACAAAAAAAAAAAAAAAAGCATAAACTTCAACTCTACCTTTAACTGTTCTGAATAGTAAAGCACTAATGCAATAAAGCATAGAGATTGAGTTCATTTAAATAGGACTAAGAAAAGCCTCAAATATATTTTCAAAGATAAAAGAAATTTATCATGCCCATTGAACCGAGAAATGGGGCATACCATTATGCTGATAAAATGTCAAGGGCCCTATTTGAAAGAAAATTTCTTGACCTGTTCCGCAATGCTTGTTGGATGAGTAGCACAGCCTCACTCAGCTCATATTTTAAATGGGACTAAATCTTCAGGAATATGAAGTAGCTTCTCCACTTCTTCAGTCAATATGACAAATAGTGAAACAGCAATTTAGTATAATTCATAACTGTTAGATTGTAGTATTGGCTGTAATAGGTTCAAGGGCTATAAAATATTGAGTGGACATTAACTCCCCCAACCTCTCAATTGGTTAACATGTTATGAGCAAATTTAGATATACTTCCTCCTCCTCTTTCTCCCTTCCACTTACTCGGCTCTACCCTAATCTTTTTATTTCCCCTTTTATGATAGAAGGAAAATCATTTCCAATATTTTAGACGAATGAACACTCTTTTATCATTGTCACTCAAGAAAATCATTTTCATTGGTCTAAATGATACGACCAATGAACTACTTTATGCATGCATTACCTCCAATGCTCCTTTAATCTCTCAATACAAACATTTCTATTTCCTGTCAGTCTGATGCTCCCTCAATTTCTCATACCTGTTGGTGTTGTTAAAAGTTTCAAAAGTAAACCTTCCATTTGCAACATCTGCTATCAAGGGAAATAAAGATGCCAGCCACGCAAATGCATCTTCTCCAACATTGGGCTCAGTACTCACCTGCCAAAAAATCATGCATGAAATGCATTACTCAAAATGTATTAAAAAAAAATCCTACATTTACCAGATGGAAAAAGTGGCATAATTAAATTTAAATTCAAAGAAAACACAGCAGTATGCATTGAATATTAAACAATGTACAAAATGTCATTGATTTATAAGCCTAAATAATGAGGAGCAAAGGAGCAAAGTTATTACAAGGAGAGGCATGAATGTCTGTATAAAGCAAAGGTTTTTTATCTCGTTTTTCGTCATCACATTAAGAGGTATCTTCTCTCTTCTTTTTTCTTTTGCAACAGACTCCCGCAAACCTGAAAAAGTAAATTAAATAAATAAAATGTCTGCTTACCATAAAGCATCTGTATTTGATCATTTCTAATCAAGTTTGAACTCTGGAAAATATGAGTTCCTCTTGTTTCTAGCAATTAATATAATTGAAGATAAACTCTCCCGATCCCCACAAGATGCCCAAATCCCAGAGGCATATATATATATATATATATATATCCCAGATGCGGATATAATGGAGAAGAAGGTCGCTGATCGGAACCCTTACCTTCAACCCTTACTTGTCTTGCTAATCTCCAAATGGGAAGCCTATAATTCAAGCCAGAGTATAGCTGCCTTATACATACAGCAATCAGCTCTGCCCCAAAAGAAGATGCAATTTGCAAGACAAGTAGAAACGCCCGCAATTTATCGAAATTATCTTGTGGTAACATAAAATCATCATGGATAGCGATTAAACATGACCAAGAATTGAAATTACAACAGCATTTCACATTTACGGGAAAAATACGGGCCAAAATAGGGGTAACACTGATCAAAAAACGTAAGGCAGGGAAAGAGGGAAGACCTTCGGCGGGGGGTCAGAGTTGGGATCTCTGCCGCCGTTCGGGGTGGTTGCGGAGGAGCCTCGCACCCTCTTCTTCTCTACTCCTCCTGATTTCTACACACGCAAATTAATTTCTACACACCCTCTTCTTCTCTTATTCTCAACTTGAATATCGCACTAAAAGTAATGCCCTTCCGTCGGAATGACTGAACGAAGGAGAAAGCGGTGGCGAGATCTTGCAAATAGAACAAATGTGAAATACGAGAATGGGAAAATAAATTTACAAGTGATTGTTCGCGTGTATGAACACGCTTGAACACGCATAAACAATGCATCCATGAATAACTAAAACTGATAAAATTATATGAGATATCAATTATTTAAAAAATATTAAAAAAAATAAAATATTATTTTATAAAATTATGTCTTTATCACCAATATTATATTTAGGCAAAACATAATCAGATTAATTTAATTTATATAATATTCGGTCTATTGTTGATATATCATTTTAAATGACATATCAATCATAAATTGTTTTCACTACATTATTGAAATGCTGACATAACTATTTTTATTGATATATTATTTATTAATGAGTCACAATTTTAATTTATTATATAAGTAGCGTTTTAAATTTTTAATTTTAAATTTTAAGTAAATTATTTTCATTATTTATATTTAAAATATTAATTATTATATAAATTAAATTAATTTCATTGTGTTTTGCCTAAATATAATATTGGTGATAAAGACATAATTTTATAAAATAATATTTTTATTTTTTTAATATTTTTAAATAATTGATATCTCATATAATTTTATCAGTTTTAGTTATTCATGTATGCATTGTTTATGCGTGTTCAAGCGTGTTCATACACGCGAACAATCACTTGTAAATTTATTTTCCCATTCTCGTATTTCACATTTGTTCTATTTGCAAGATCTCGCCACCGCTTTCTCCTTCGTTCAGTCATTCCGACGGAAGGGCATTACTTTTAGTGCGATATTCAAGTTGAGAATAAGAGAAGAAGAGGGTGTGTAGAAATTAATTTGCGTGTGTAGAAATCAGGAGTAGAGAAGAAGAGGGTGCGAGGCTCCTCCGCAACCACCCCGAACGGCGGCAGAGATCCCAACTCTGACCCCCCGCCGAAGGTCTTCCCTCTTTCCCTGCCTTACGTTTTTTGATCAGTGTTACCCCTATTTTGGCCCGTATTTTTCCCGTAAATGTGAAATGCTGTTGTAATTTCAATTCTTGGTCATGTTTAATCGCTATCCATGATGATTTTTATGTTACCACAAGATAATTTCGATAAATTGCGGGCGTTTCTACTTGTCTTGCAAATTGCATCTTCTTTTGGGGCAGAGCTGATTGCTGTATGTATAAGGCAGCTATACTCTGGCTTGAATTATAGGCTTCCCATTTGGAGATTAGCAAGACAAGTAAGGGTTTGAAGGTAAGGGTTCCGATCAGCGACCTTCTTCTCCATTATATCCGCATCTGGGATATATATATATATATATATATATATCCTCTGGGATTTGGGCATCTTGTGGGGATCGGGAGAGTTTATCTTCAATTATATTAATTGCTAGAAACAAGAGGAACTCATATTTTCCAGAGTTCAAACTTGATTAGAAATGATCAAATACAGATGCTTTATGGTAAGCATCTCAGTTTAGGTTTGCTCTCAAGGAATTCATACTTATGCTTTATGATATGCGGGCTCTGCAATCGAGCCTGATCTCAAAGCTATCTGAGTTAAGGAGAAATAAAGCCATTGAAGCATCTCAGTTTAGGTTTGTTCTCAAGGAATTCATAATTTGTTGCGAACAAAAATTCTGAAGCTTCTTTCTTTCTTTCTTTGTTTTTTTTTTTTGTCGTGTGAAAATTAAATTTTAATTTAAAGGGGCAAGGCCTTGTAGCTCCAGGCATTGGCTGACCTTGGGGAAGGACAATTGCATGACGGCTACTTTGAGGCATGGGTACACTCGATCTAGGATCAATCCTCACAGTAATTAGCTTCCTGCATGTTGTGGTGTTTGTTAAGTGGAACACTTCCCTGGGCTATAGACTAGCATCTCTTTCTTCTGGATGTTCTTGGGCATGTACATTCTTATGAGCAAGAGTGATCATGTGGCTAAAGTTTGATGTTGGCACGCTTGTCTGTTCTTCCGCATCATTGGGTTTGTGTGTTCTGGTACCCTTGAGAAGAGCCTATGAGGAACAAAGCATGCGTAGTTCAGTCTTGGCTCTGACACCACTTGGTGCAGGATTAGGAGAGAAAGTAGGATACAGGTGTAAGTAGATGGGAGAAAATGCGATAATTCATTCAATGATTAAGACTGAAGTCCTCGCTTCTATTGTATGGAGGTCGAAATATAACCAAGGCTGAAAGATATTCTTAAAATTATGGATAGGATAATAGAACTATACTGGAAATAAAACTAGATAGGATTATAAGGCCAATAGTTAATCTTTAAGGAATTCCTAAAAATTATTGTTCTTAAGCCTATAACCTGTACTAAGGTTTCCATTCATTGGTGGAATTATCATAACTAACCCACTTAATAAGTTATCGGGTCATCCTCAGTTGCTAGGCTTTTGTGTGAGAAATGGAGGATGTTATGATGTACTTTACCTGTCTGCATGTTCAACCTTGTACTTTTGAAGAAGCCATTATGTTTCTGTTACATAAGTGTAATTGTGACAAGTTAGTTTATAATTAGTTAAGTAGCTGTTGGGAGGGAAAGCTTAGTTAGTGGCTGTTAGTAGCCGTTAGAGGAGTAGGTAGAATTAAGAGTCTATCGATAAGATTACCTATGTAACAAGATTATGATTAGGACTCTAATGAGAATATACGGCGAATGATTCAGCAATCTCTCTCCCCTTGTCTGTTCCCTATCTTCTATCTCTCTTCTTTTTCTTCCTCCTCCTCCTCCTCTTTTTCCCTCTCTTTCTCTTTCTGTCAGAATTATATATATCCAACAGTTTCATTTTTTTTTCTTTTTCTTTTTGTGCTTATACGAATTATTAATGGCAGTGGATTCTCCATCAACAACAACAACAAGCCTTTATCCCACTAGGTGGGGTCGGCTACATGGATTGCAAGACGCCATTGTGCTCTATCATTTATTAAGCTTTTAGAAATATTATTAATTAAGAGATCACGTTCAACAACTTCCAAGAGTGTTCTCTTAGACCTTCCTCTACCTCTCTTAATCGGACTCAAAGTTATATGTTCCACTCTTCTCACTGGTGCCTCCCTTGGTCTTCTTTGTACATGCCCAAACCATCTCAACCGATTTTCTACCATTTTTTCCTCAATATTATTAATTTTATCTTAATTAGCAGTGGATTCTCCATCATGTCATTCAATATTTGAAATGCTTCTCATTTTGAATGTAGGTTGTAATGGGCAAAAGAGAGGCTGCGGGAGACATATTTCCTTGGGATGGGACTCTCACTTCAAGTGATTTCTTTCTTGCTGCTCATATGTTTTCTGACAATTGGAGAAAATTCAATACTTCAGTCCCTCCATGGTTGTGGGTTAAATGTCCAAAACGTTATTTGGTTTCTTCTAATGAGGTGGGCCTCTGCAATAGTTTTTTTTTTTTTCTTTAGTTCTGCAACTTTATTACTCGATGCTTCAAAACTACTCTGTTTTTTTTTGTCTATGTATGTCTCTCAATCTCAGGGGAAGGATATTTGTCACTGGAAAACATGTGCCTTTTAAAATCAAGTCAGGTCTGTTGTTTTTTCTTTTAGATAAGTTTTATTGTTGTCGTCGTCGTTGTTGTTATTGATGAGAAGAGACGGCAATTATTGGCGGGTATAATCCTCATAATGAATTAATAAAAACAACAAAGCCAATAAGCTAATATAAGCTTGAAAAAGCTTTCCAATCCTTTTGTAAATCCATAAGGTATACTCCCCTTAAAAAACTTTTGCTGAACTGTTTGACCACAGTTTTTACACTCCTTAAACTAGAGGCGATGTTAGTTATTGGATTGTAAGTGTCATGTGCAGGAAAAACAGGATACTGTTAGTCTGACATGGAAAGAAGAAAGCAATGTCTTGGAGAATGAAGAACCATTTGATAGTGCCACATTAGTATGTATGGCCTAATTGGTTTTCATTGTGTAGCTTACTAATTTTCATGCTACATCAATTTGGTGACTATTATTTTGTTGGCAGTTTTTGTACTCTTCATTGTTATTGTTCTATTCCTTTTTGCAGGGTGCAGAGAGTGATTATCTTGAAATAAACCACTATGATTTTCATATAGTCTACAGTGCTTCATACAGGGTTCCAGTGCTGTATTTCCGTGCTTATCATAGTGGTATATTCACCATCCTATCGTCTTACAAAGTATGTTGCTTGTGATAAATATCCTATTGGATATATGACTGCATTTTTTATTGGAACTTCAAAATTGGAACCACTTGAAACAAAATACCACCTTATGGCTATTTAGCTGTAAACCTGAGTGAATGATTTTCTTTTGCAATTGGTTTGTCATTAGATATGAATGCTTAAAGAGGCGGGTTAAATAAAAGATCGTATTGCTGTCCTTAGGTGTTGTGGGGGTGGGGTGGACATTTAGGACACTGGCACTATTTTCAATCTAATTGAAGCCGCAGTTGGATTTTGGTACCTAAGCCTTTGAATACTTGGGTTAAAACTTTTAATTTTGTGGACATGAATAAGTTCAGTTAGGTCTCTGCCAACGTTTCTATTGCCTGATAGTATAAAAACATAACTGTATTTCTAAGATCAGAGTTGCGTTATCACCTAAATTTATGTCTACATTTTTTGTTTCTATATAATTCAAATTTTTTAATCAAGAAAATAATGTTAACAGCGAGGGAGATGCAATGCTGTTTGATTATGTAGATGAACAACCTTTCTATCCATTGAAAAGGGCATTCCTGGTCCCTCGTGAAGTTGTAACAGTAATATATAAAAACTTATGAAGTCTAGTATATCATTAGAAACACACAGATTAATTATATTTTGTTCAAGAAGAGTGCTGAACTTGGAACCTATTATCTGAATCTTTACCACCGAACCTTCTGAACTAGCTTCAGGTAGAATTTCCTCGACTTTGCGTAAAGGGACAATTTTATAAATTTATAGATAAAAATGTAATTTAAAATTTTCTTTTAACTGGGAAAATGATGTTCACAATGTGTGATACTTTTTGATATTCGGATTACATAGATGGACAACCTTTGCTGTTGAGTGAAATTGAAAAGGGCCTTCCTGGCCACTCTGTGAAGTTGCTATCTGAATCAAAATGGACGTTCATAACTCAAGAGGTAAGTAACCATATGCCTCTTATCTCTCTTTTTGCAGTAAAAGAATTGTTTTCATTATCTTTTTGTAAGTTCCTTTTTGGTTAAGCATCTATGCTTTGGTTCTTGCTTTTTTATTTATTTTTATTGAGACTGCCAAGTTATATATGAATTTCGAGTCCTTGCATTCTTTTGCCTTTGATTTATAATGAAAGGAATTTTATGAGTAGAAGTGAAAG